CAACATAGATTCTGTCCCCAAAAAAAGAGAGCGAGAGAGAGAGAGTACATGTATTTTGTCAAACCTATTAGATGCCTATGTGATTTTTCCTTAGTGTGTTAATATGATTAATTATACGGATAGCTTTTGAATGTTTTTTTTTTTTTTCACCAAAAAACCAACTATAGCAAAAAACTCTTTACAAGAGAACTTTTATGGGGGAAAGAGGGAGACAGAGTCTGACTATGTTGCCCTCAGTAGAGTGCTGTGGCATCCCAGTTCACGCCAACCTCCAACTCTTGGGCTTATGGGATTCTCTTGCCTCAGCCTCCCAAGTAGCTTGGGAGTACAGGCGAGCTTTTGAATGTTGAACCAGTTTGCATTACCAGAATTAATCCCACTTGGTCATGAAATGTTATTCTTTCTGCATATTGCTGAATTTGATTTACAGTATGTTATTGAGGATTTTTGTGTCTATTTTCATGAGTAATATTGGTCTATAGTAGTTTTCTTTTTGCTTTCTTTCTTTCTTTTTTTTTTTTTGTAATTCTTTTGTGTGTTTTTGATATCAGGGTAATGGTGGCCTTACAAAATAAGTTGAGAAGTGTTCTCTTCTGTTTTCTCAAAGAAATTGTGTAGAATTGGTATTATTTATTATATACTTGGTAGAATTTGCCAGTGATAGCATCTCATTGTTGTCTTGGAAGACTTTAAATCATTAATAAGATTATTCAGATTCTTTATTTCTTCTTGAGTGAGTTTTGGTTATTTGTGAATTTTGAAGTGTTGGCCTTTCCATCTTCATTGTCAAAATTATGTACATAGAATTGTGTGTAGTAGTATTTATTTGATTATTATCCTCGTAATGAGTATTACTGTCCGTAGTAATAACACCACTTTCATTTCTTTTATTGATATATTTATTTATTTAAATATGAAAGCACATTTGCTGTATGCACATTAGTTCTAGTAGTTGTTGTTAAACAAGATACTTCAGGGACTGATAGCAGAAGTGTAAATTGCTGTAACATCTTTGTCAACTTTTGCATGATAATAATTTTTAAGATGCACATGCTCCATGATCAAGTCAATTTTTCTCTTTGTCGTTTATCCTATAGAAAATAATGCACTATGCAGAGAGATATTTTGTTCTGAAAGCCTGGCTATCCCTGTGTTCCTTGCATGCAGGTAGAGGACAGCTGTAGAATGATGGGAGGGGACCTGACAGAACTTGACTGGGGAGATGGAAGCATTCGCTATGTGGCGTGGGTTACTCAGGGGTATCCATTTGTCAAAATCACACATTTAAGATTTGTCCATTTAATGTATATAAATTTTACCTTTAAAAAAAAGAACTAAAAATAACCATTGAGCGATGAGTAGATAGAGGTAGAGATGAAACAAGAAAGGCATAATTATCGAAGCTGGATTATGGATACATGGGGGTTTATTATGCTGTTTTGTTCACTTTGTATGTGTGTATTTGAAGTCTTCCGTAATAAATTTTTTTAAACAACATTCTAGCCTACCATATTAGAAAATCAAAAGAGAATATTTAGGATTGATAAACCAAGAAATAGCAAGGAAAGCATATTATTTAGAAACGTAGAGCTAAATAGCAGGAAACAGTTAAAACACATGCAGATGGATGTCTCTGCGGATCAGAACTGAGTTTGGAGAGGGCTGGAAGAAGCAACATTTCTGTTTTAGAAGGCTTTTTGGTGCTATTTTATTTTGCAACCTTATGCATGTATTACTTTGATAAAATAATATATTCATTCTGTGGATTTCTGCATTGTTTTCAAGGAAAATACCCATGTGAACTTATGTGAGTAATTTTGCATAGACCTAGTGCTTTGAATACATAAAAAATTCTGTTTACCCATGATAATTTTGGCAGTATGCCAATTCTGTTGCCAAAGGCAGTGATTTAAATTTGAATTCGTACTTCAGATGAGTAAGGCTAAGAAATTTGATGGCATATAGTTTCTCACAGTCTGCATTCTGGCACCCCTCCAGTTTGTTCTTTATACACTAGTCAAGAGTGATCATAAATAAGCTTATCTCACTCTCCTGTTTAAATGCCACCAAATGTCTGTCATTGCAATTAGAATAAAATTCAGACTCTTCATCATGACCTACAAATAAGGCCCTAATAATTTAAATGATCGGACTCGTGCCCAATTCTGTCATTCTCTCCCGTCACCCTGCATCAGCTTTGATGGCTTTTTCTGCACACTCATGGCTCATTCCTACCTCAAGGCCTTTGTCCTTGCCATTCCTTATCAGACTGACTTCTCAGCATTCAGAATTTGATTCAAAATTTAATTTCTATAAAAGGCCCTTCCTGACTATGTAGCTATAGTAGCTTCCTTCACCTCTGCTCTGTCTAGAGCACATCTCAGTATGTGGTCTTCAGACCCAAAACATGAGCATCAGCTGGGAGCATTTATTTTGTTTCATGTTTTTTTTTATAAATTCAGAGTCTTAGGCTCCACCACAGACTCATTGAAGGAAAATCTGCATTTTAACAAGATCCCAGAGTGATGCACTTTTAAATTTCCAGAACCACTGGCCTAGAATATCCTTCCTCTAATTTTTCTGTGTTAATAGATGGATCCATTTCTGAAGGTAATTTAGTCATTTGTTTACCTGTTATTACTTCTCATCCACCAGGGCAGCACCTGGTCTAGCTTGTCTTCTGGATCCCCAGCCCCTAGCATGTCTACACCTAGTGTGTGTTCAATAAGTATTTGACCAGTGAAAGAATAAATGGATACAGTGGATATCATGCTGAGATACATGAGTGACGTTTAACTCTGTATGATAAAAAAGTTCATCGTTTTCCCTTGCTTATAAATTGAGGTTATTCTTACCTCTCAGCATCATCACTATGAAGGAGTTTCGCTCTGTCTTGGATGTTGAGTGGTATTAAAGTAACATGACCAGTAAAGAATTACTTATTTACCCGTGTTTTCAGGCAGTTTGTCTTCAGAACCAAGATTGAGGTTTTGTTTTAGAGTGCTTCTCCACTGACTTAATGTCAGAACTGATTGTTTTCTTCAGTATTTAAGAATCACTTGCAGTCAGAGTTAATATTATCTTCAAAGGTTTTTATCCAAAGTAAATATTGGGGCTTGGTGCCTGTGGCTCAAGTGGCTAAGGCGTCAGCCACATGCATACACCTGAGCTGGTGGGTTCAAATCCAGCCCAGGCCTGCCAGACAACAATGACGGCTGCAACCCCAAAATAGCCGGCGTTGTGGCAGACCCCTGTAGTCCCAGCTACTTGGGAGACAGAGGCAGGAGAATCGCTTGAGCCCAGGAGTTGGAGGTTGCTGTGAGCTATGATGCCAGTGCACTCTACCCAGGGGGACAGCTTGAGGCTCTGTCTCAAAAAAAAAAAAAAAAAAAGGAAATGTTGGTTTGATATTTTTATCAAGTTCTATTAAATCTTGAGTTTAATGATCTTTTTTAAAAAATAAGAAAATAGGATTCTGAAAATGTTAAGTCAAATGCAGAATTTAAAGCTAAATTGCAAATAAAAACTGATGGAGCATATAAAGTTTGAATTTTCTATTTTTGAAATGTGATTCCAGAGAAGACCTGTAACTTCTGATACTGTCCTACATTTAAAGATACGTTCTCAGGATATGTTTCCTAATGCATATTGCGGTGAAATTTGTCAAGAACACTTTTCAGTCTATATTCTTTGAAAAAAGAAATAGGACTACTTAAATGGCTTTCAACTAGGGGAATGACTTTGCCTCCCAGAGGATATTTGGCAATGGCTGAAGACATTTTTGGAAATCATAACCGGGGGTGGAGGGGATTGCTGCTAGCATCCAGTGGCTAGAGGCCAGGGATATTGATAGTTATGTAATGCACAGAGCCGCCCCCCACCACCAAGAATTATCTGGCCCCAAATCAGTGGTACCACTGCTAAGAGATCCTGACCTAAACTGTGAGAGGCCTCCTGATAGGGTGAAAAGCTGAGCAGGCGCTGCGCTCAGGGCAAGAAAAGAATTTCTCTAGGCCAAAATTAGGTTATAAAAGTGTAAGTTTATTTTGTCTTAAAAAGAGAGGGGAGGAAGAGTGGGAGAAGAGAGGGAGAGAGCAGGGAGATGGTGTGGCATCCCAAAGAAAGAAACAATGCCTACAGAGGTCCAGGGGTTAGCTGAATTTAAGGGGGGCAAAGGGAAAAAGGCAGTTGCAGCCAGATTCACAAGGTATTGTGGATGTGAACATTGTATCCATTTTTTCCTCTGCAAGGTTGAGGACAGGCATTTTTTCCAGGTTTTTCTGATCCTGAGGCCTGATGGTCACACTCCATTGTTTGTCGAGGACACTGAGGAACCACTTGAGACTAAAGGAACAAATTCTTTTTTCTTTTTTTTTTTAATTGTTGGGGATTCATTGAGGGTACAAGAAACCAGGTTACACTGATTGCATTTGTTAGGTAAAGTCCCTCTAAAGGAACAAATTCTAAAAAGAACTGGTGAAATTTAAAGAGAAATAATTTACATTTCCTTTTGTCTGCCGGGCTCCTCAGTGGTTTATAAAAAGGGAACTTCAGTGGACTGGGTGGGCCAGCAAGAGAAAGAAAAAAGCAGGCAGAGAGATTGATTTTAATCTTTATTGAAAAACTATGAGTTGTTAATTTTTCTATTATTTCACTATATAAAGACCCACCATCCTTAACACCTTCTTCTGCAAATACTAATGCCATTGGAAAAAGAATACTTTGTCCTACCTTTTGGAAAAGAGAATTATAGAAAATGGCACTTAGAGATTGAGATGGGTATATTGGCACTTCTATGTTCACTTAAGATCATTATTTTTAATTAGATATAATATAGAAATTTAATGACTGCTCCCTTTGGGGTGTAAATCACTCTAACAAAAGACATTTAAGAAATTTGGCAACTTGGTTTTAGAATTGGTTAACATTCTCAAATAATCTTACATTTTTGAAAATAGGGAAATTCAAATATAGGGTTATTGGTTTTCCTTATTTTACAGATGGGGTCGAGGATTTGGTCTTTTGGGTTCCATTTTTGGAAAGGATGGTGTATTAAACCAGCCAAACAGTGTCTTTGGACTAATATTTTATATACTACAGTTATTACTTGGTAAGTATTTATACACCAATACAAAAATAAGTTTATTATATTCCATTTAGTACTTTGTCTCTTTGCCCTGAAGTATGTGTTTATATTAAATAAAAGCATGTGCTAATGATAGACCCACTAGTTTGTAGCATATTTTTGTGTTATGAAAGCTTGATTCACTAAGATTTTTATGATGCCAGTGTTGAATTTGGTATCATTTGGTGTTTAATCATGGATACAGCATCTCATGGTGTGCAGAAAAACCAGCCCCATTCAAAGAAATGATCACTCCAATCAGTCTTCCCTATAGATTTTTTTCTTTCTTTTGTAGATTCTGTAGCTCTTTGGGAAAAGATTAACAGTAAACTATATTCATAATTCCATCTTTACATATCTACTATTTCTGTTGTCTTCTGCCTTTTTTTTTTTTTTTTTTTTTGAGACAGAATCTCACTGTGTTGCCCAGGCCAAAGTGCTGTGGCGTAGCGTAGCTCACAGCAACCTCAAACTCCTGGGTTCAAGTGATCTACCCACCTCAGCCTCCCAGAGTGCTAGGATTATAGGTTTGAGCCACCGCTCCCAGCCTGTCTTCTGCTTTTAAAAATAATTTTACATGAAATTGTATGTATCAATGTAGTGTTATCTATCCTCTTAAATGTTCATTATTGTTAACATGTAGATTTCACATTTTTTTGTTTTAAGTAACATTGCAGTGATCAGCTTTGTTTAAAGGCACACTCCTCTTCCCTCTGAATTATTTCCACAAAGTAAATTTCCAGGGATGGGGTTAGTGACTCAGCAAACATAGACTTTTAAAAATGGATTTTGATAGGTATTAGCAAATTGCTTTCCCATAGTTGTCTGATTTCTCTGAAGCTTTATCAATCTTCATTTTTTAAAAAGTGTTTTCTGTAAAATTTCCAGTTGTTAAAAATTAGTAGCTATTACTTTAAAATTTACTTTAACTTACTTTTATTGTCCATTTTGTTACTGGATCCTGATAATAGTCTATTTTCATATGTATTATGGGCATGTTATCTGTTCTGTCCTTTTTTTATGTTTTATGAATTTTAATTGTGTAAGTTTTTATACGTTTAGAGTAAAATCCCTTTATTTTTGCCTTTGCATTTTAATTAATATTTATTCCATCATGTCAACTCTTCTGTGGTTTGATTCATTAAAAGTGTATGTAACTTTTCTATCTGAAATTGATTCATTATGAAGAAAATTGTGAATCTGAATTTTTCTCAGAAGTCTTTTTTTCTCTTAATATTTTTTATTAAATCATAACTGTGTACATTAATGCATTTATGGGGTACAGCGTGCTGATTTTATACAATGTTTACATCAAACTGGTTAACATAGCCTTCACCTCACTTATTGTGTTAAGACATTTATACTCTTAATAGATTTCAGAAGTCTTCTTATCAAGTTTGCCCAGTAATATTTATTTTGTAGAAATACAGAGATGGATACACAAGGATATTTGTAGCAGTACAGAAGTAGCTTAAGAATAGGTAATGGTTGAATAAATTAGAAAATAACTGTGAAATACTATATAGCCACTAAAGGAAAAAGGGGATCTATGTGTATATCCTGGAAAGATCAAGACACTATTTAGTAAAAAAAGCAAATTGTGGTATTAACAGGTATAGGATAAACACATATTTGTATATGTTCATGTCAAAGTATAGAAAAAGGCCTGGTGATTGGGGAGGAGGGAGAAATTTCGCTTTTTATTCCATGTATTTATTTTGTTGGGTTTCTATAGAAGAATATGAAATATAAGCTCAAATCCAAAGCATAGTTCATTTTCCCTTAATAGAAAAGTGCCGAAGAAAAACCTTTTGACTATTTTAGTTTTTGAAGATAAAGGTGAAACAGTCAAATTTCTGTTTACGATATTAATTTGTTGATAACATGTCATATGTGTCATGTGTATTTCTTTCCATTTGCATTTTATGAATTTTTTTTCAGGTTCTTCACATGCTTTTTTAATTTTAAATCATCTAACATAGTTTCTTTTATTATTATTATTATTTATTATTATCATTTTTTTGGAGACAGAATCTCAAGCTATCACGCCAGGTACAGTGCCATGGTTTCACAGCTCACAGCAACCCCAAACTGTTGGGCTTAAGTGATTCTCTTGCCTCAGCCTCCAAAGTAGCTGGGATTACAGGCACCTGCCACAACACCCAGCTATTTTTTTGTTGTTGCAGTAGTCATTGTTTGTTTGTTTGTTTTTTTTTTTAGCTGGCCTGGCTGAGTTCAAACCCTCCATGGTCGGTGCATGGGGCCGGCACCCTGCCCACTGAGCTATGGGCGGTGCCGCCCTAACATAGTTTCAAAGGCACATCATCTTTATTCCCTTCCGAGCAGAGATAAAGAATTTTTACTTTAATTTTTCCATGGGTAATACATTCAGATGCTTCAAAAAAAATCTGTCCCACCCTAGTTTCTCTTGGACCTGCATCTCACCCCTGAAGGGTAGCTTGTTCTTATTCTAGAGTTTCTTTATGCATATACAAGAAACTACAAATATATAGCTTAATTTTCCTCCTTTTTTAAACATAAAAGGCAAAAGCTATACACACTATTCTACAACCTGCTTCCCCCCCTTTTTTGTTTGACTGATGTATCTTGCTGACTCTTTCATATCAGTACATTAAATGTATTTATGCTTTTTTATAGCTGCTAAATACTCCCCTGCATGATTATACCATCATTTATTCAGAGTTAGAGCACATTTTAAACTCCATTGGGAATTTTACCCTAAGCCACCAGTACCTAGTTACATTATAGAAGTATTGACTAGTAGTCAGTATTTATAGAGCATTCTAATAAGTTTATATGGTTTCCTTTAATTCTCATTTAGTTTTCCCAACAGTTTTGGGAAGTAGGCATGGTCTTGCTCATGTTATTTTAAAACTAACTTTCACAGATAAAATTAAGATGACAACGTTAATTTTTGAAGTTTTAAATGTTTAGTATAGATAAAGCAAGCAAGCTTTTGCAGTAAAGAGCCAGACAGAAAATAGTTTAGGCTTTGCTGGCTGCTGCAGCCACTCAGTTCTATCTTTCTAGTGTAAAAGCAGCCACAGACATTACATAAATGAATGAGCATAGCAGAGTACCAATAAAACTTTATTTACAAAAGCAGGCAGCTGGCCAGACCTGCGAGTCCTTGGCATAATAATTCAATAGCATCTTAGTCTTAAAGTGCCTTTTTAAAGTATTGTTCTCTAGTTCCTGTGGTCCCTGTTGCTATACTTCTGCCAGCCCATAGGCATTTTCTCATTGTCTTTCTTTTTGCCAATGGGCACCATGATTTCAGTTCTTTAACTGAGTTCTTTAAACCTGCTACCACCTGTTCTTTTTTTTTCCTATTTCTATTATCCTTGCCCATTAATCACTAAGAATGTAGTCTAATATGCTTTGCCTTCTCTTTCCTTGAAAATAAATGCACGTATTCTCCCTACTGTTGGCTATAGGAAGTTACGGAACAGTGCACATGTGAAGATAAGAGTCAAGAATTCAGGTGCATTTTGCCTTGAGGGCCCTGGCTTAGCATACACAAAACTACATTTTCTCTCCATCAGAGTTAACCCACATGTGGCAAACTGCCCAAATATGCTTTCCCTTACTCACTAGGGTGGAGCCCTGAAATGTTTATCAAGATTTTTTTTTCCTTCTTCAGTCGGCGTGTTGGTGTGGTCATCTCCCATTATGGCTTTTGATCTAAACATGGAAAAGCAAATTTTACTTTCCACAGATAGATAGGTTAGAGTGGAAAGCCAGGGGAGGTTCTCATCAAATGTGTACAGCTTGGAAGAAAAGGTTATGGTCCTTACATTTGTTTATTCATTAGGAGAGTTGGGGCTGTTGATTTTATGGATTGGCTTCATCGCTCAATTTGATTGTGAGATTGTATATTTTCTTTGCATGTGTATCCTTAACTAATACTGGTTTGTAAAACATTTCATCTGAAATATTGATAAATAAAAAAATTACAGTTATAAAACTGGTATTTTATCTGCAAAGTGAACCTGTATAATCTTAACAATATAATAGAGCAGCAGTTTTTGTTCTCAAATTTCAGTTTTGTAGTTGAGTATTCAAACACTACAGCAAATCACAACATGTTACCTTTAACTCAGAAGCTTTCTCTTCATTGCCAAGGCCTGATTGAGCCAAGTGTCTCTTTCTCTTACAGGCATGACAGCAAGCGCAGTTGCAGCTTTAATCCTCATGACATCCTCCATCGTGTCTGTTGTAGGGTCTTTGTACCTGGCCTACATTCTGTACTTCGTGCTGAAGGAGTTTTGCATCATCTGCGTCATCACATACGTGCTGAACTTCATTCTTCTTATCATCAACTACAAACGACTAGTTTACTTGAATGACGCTTGGAAACGGCACCTGCAGCCCAAGCAGGACTGACAGCCGACAGAACTCTTAACTGACAGTTTGAAGTCCCTTTTTCCATTAAGTTTATTTTGCAGCAGTTTTTTTTTTTTTATTCTTCACAACAGACATTTTCCCTAAGAATCTTAAACTGATTTTTTAAAATCTTGTAAATTAGAAGGGGCCCTAGCTGTTTTCTGTGTCAATCTTCATTTTAAATATGGATACAAAAAAAGGATATGCCGAGCCAATCAAAGACAAGCTTTAACTTTACTTTGAAGATCTTTCTGAATATTAAAATGTAGTCCTAGTCCCCTTCCCCCACCTGTAAAGTGAGCAACCATTGCTAGTAATTCTTTAATGTGTATAAATTCAATTTCAGGTATAACAAATGTGATCATGACATGAAAATATTTTAGAATAGATACCGTATTAAATATTGCCATGTTTACAATATGTAATATGTTTTTAGCCGATGGATTTAAACATGTAGATTCAACTAGAATCCATTTATGTGATATTTGTAAATAAAGGTAGAAATATTGGATCCATCCCTGCAGAACTTGCTGTACAGTTTAGTTGAGTGTAGCAATGAAGAATTGTCAGCTCAATGTTGACTGATAAAATAGTGGAAATAGTAAGCCGGTGTAGAGCATCTCTTGTGAAAAGTACAGACAGCCAAGGGTGCAGCATTGACAGCAGAAATACTGGGGTGGTTGGTTCCCTTCCATGTCCCTCCTCTGAAAGCAAGGAACTAAATTGGAATGTTTAATTCAAGTTTGTATCCAGTCATAAAACTGGATCAATTATAATCTTAGAATGAGTCATGTGATGAGACCAAGTCCAAGGCCTTTGGGACACTAATAGGAAAATGGGTATTTTTTTTTTTTTTGGAGAAAAGCTGGAAATATTCATATGTCATTTTCAAGTAAAGTCTCTTACACCAGTTGAATTTTCACACAGATATTTTTCCTTAATATTGGTGCCAGTCAACCAAACAGTATTATGACTTTAAAATAACCAATATAAGCCTGACCACTCCAGAGCAGGATTGCTCTTTGGTAGCTCCATAGCATTCTCCCTAATTGTTTCTTTCTGCACTAACTAATCAGATGTCTAGTTCAATTGTTTTAGAGTCAAATATTGGATTGGTAAACTTTAGGGCTGACTTGCTGCTTAGTTGGTAAAAATATCTAAAGGTAAAATACAGTAATGTCATCACTGTTCTTTTACTAACTACACGAATGCATAAGAAAAATTTTTAAAGGTGATTTGAATAAACCCAAATGGAATTGTGACAGTATGTTTCTATGGTTAACATCTTATATCAGAATGTTTAAAGTGCCTTCTGTCTTAAATCTCAAACCAAATATTTCGCGTGTTGAACTTGGGCAGAAGTGTCCTTCCTTCCTTTCTTACTGTGAAGTAGAAAACTTGCATTCTACAGAAAGGTTCTGTATGATCATTTTATTGCTTTGATTGAGAAGTAGTGGCAGTGTTTTTGCTTCTAATTCAATCAATCATGAGTTAAAAATAGTCAATTAGACCAGAAACTTTTGAGTGCTTTATTTGCCTTCTTTTTGAAGGGAGGGACAGGTTGTACTCTATAAACTGTAGAGTCGGCAACTGTTCAGTAGTTTCTAACTGACTGTCATAATCGATGCAATGTAGGTAGGTCTTCTGGCCCAAGGCAGGTATAAAGTCTGAATTGTAGTGAATTTTTAACTAGTTTCTTAAAAGACGACTTAATTCAGATTTCATCAAAGCTTTTGTTTTCCCATGAATGTGAATATTTCAATGCTCATTTTATTACGTATGTATTGTTCCTGTATTCTGAAGTAGTTAAAAGAACTGTAGAATGTGTTGATTGGGTGTCTGGTGTTCACGGAGAAGCAAGTCCTCATGTTTGAAAGCTGTACAGTGAGGTCATGTTGTAGCAGTGCATCCAGTTCTACCAAGGCAGTTCACTGGTTCTCTTTTCTAAGCTAGAGTGGAAATGGCTTAAGGGTTAAGACTTCTGTGGTGTGTATAACACCCGTTGTGCTAAACAAATTCCTTGTGTCCCAATTTTTAGTAGTTTTTCATCATATTTTGTATCAGTCCCCAGAGTATAGTTAAAGCTTGTCTTGATGTTGCATTCTTGCAAATGTCTTCAACTCTTCCGTGAGAAAACATGTAAAAATGTTCAGCCAGACCCTTCGTTTTTTCCTTTGCTTTCTTAAGCCTTGGGGAAACCACTGTTTCAGTTGTATAAAATTTTTTGCCACATTACCTGTGACCCAATAAAATTATGCCCTTTTTCTCACTGAGAGATGGAACACAAGCTGCCAGAAAGAACAGCATTTTAATGCCAGTATCTCAGTAAGGAACAGAACCCCGTTGGGTATTAGTTGGTATTTTTTGCCCTGAAGAATTTAGACTCCCCTGTACCTCCTATTCACCTAGAAGAGCAGGGGAACACCATGTTAAAAAATTTGAAAATTGTTATTCCTATTTTAGACTGAATATTTAAATACTGTAGCATTACTAAGGTACCAATGTTAGATGACAAATTAGGGGGTAAAATTGGCTTCAGCAGTAATTTCACACTTCATGTTTTTGAAGTGATTCATAACAATTGAAGCTTCTTATTTACTTGATAGTCATAAATAGCATTTGAAAAAGTAAGTTGTGGTCTAGGGAATCTAGGTGGTTTGGAGGGTTTCATTTAGTTTTTCATTACAGCTAGTTGCTATAAAGATAAACTTCTGGTGAAATAACTCAGGTTTAACTAGCTATGTCCCATTAATTATATTTACTTAATATATGTATCCTACTTTTCAGGAATGCTAAAAACATTGATTGTTTTCATATAAAGATTTGTTTTTTGGCATAAGCAATCTTTGGATCTACTAGGTAAGAGAGAACAAGACTACAGTGAAATTAAAACTATTTGTTGGCTTTTGTTTGTGTAGTTTTAATTTTTTTTAAGACCATCTTTAGAAAGACTAGATGGTATTAAAGACTCTCTGCAAAAGTGCAGTTATTGTCAGCAGTTACTTCATATCTTAGATTGGTACCACTGCTTGACACCAGTGAGTGCTGACAGCATGCCTCATCTTGAAAATCAGTGTTAGACAAATGCCAACAAGGAACCCACTATCATTTTTGGTAACATATTTGGGGAGGATAAACCTAATAAACAGTCTTTGCGCTCATGTATTTTCCTACAACACATCAGCATTGGTGAAACATTTCAGATATTTTAGGCAGCACTTACAGTTCCTAATTTGTGAGAATTACCCCTCAGTAAGCCAAATGAGGGAAGGGGGTGGGAATCCAGGCTACTTGGTTAAACATTTTTCTATAGATTAGCCCAGAAAAGGTGAAGTCTTATGAAACTGTATTAAACATGGCCTAAGTATTAGGTGTATGATCTGTATAGTATGTTCCATCAAAAATATTTATTACTAGTGCTTTCAACTCCAGGGTAAACATTCATTTAAAATGGGAGTTCACTGGGCAGATTTCCCCTTTAATATAGATAGAAATATTCTTTATCAGAGATTCAGGACACCGTTTTGCTAACTGGTAAATAAAAACAAATGTAAATATGTAAGAATGTTTATTTGTTGCACATAACTTTTTTGGTATAAAATAAATGTAGAAGTTACCTGTGGAATTTGTGCTGCCATCATTCCTATACTGCAGAGTTACATTTCAATCTGGCATGACTGGCATGACTTAGACTCAGTAGGAACCTCACAAAAGAATTCTTGAAGTTGGGTGGCACCTGTGGCTCAGTGGGTAGGGTGCTGGCCCCATATACCGAGGGTGGTGGGTTCAAACCCAGCCCTGGCCAAACTGCAACAAAAAAGTAGCTGGGCGTTATGGTGGGCACCTGTAGTCCCAGCTACTCAGGAGGCTGAGGCAAGAGAATCACCTAAGCCCAGGAGTTGGAGGTTGCTGTGAGCTGTGATGCTATGGCACTCTAATGAGGGCAATAAAAGTTAAGACTCTGTCTCTACCAAAAAAAAAAAAAAGCATTCTTGAAGTCAATACTGTAACAAACATCATTTCTAGGTAGACTGGGTTGGTTCTTTGTCTCTCAAATTATATGTAATTTATAGACAATACAGACTTTTTAGACTCTAGTTCTGTTCCTATGGGTTTATGATGCTTGTGATTGTCACAAATTGAGTACAAAAAGGCTTACTGTTTACAGTTCTGTGAACACATGGGATATATCAATCTGCCATTTTTTCCATAGCTTTACTTTACCTTGAATACTCCATTTTTGTAATCCTTTAAAAAGGTTAACATCTGCAAGAAAGATGAGGCTATCTGAAATACAGTTTAGCCATACTTCACTCAATAGAATAGATGTGTTCTATGCTACAAGTTTAGGATCTACCAAATGGACCTTACCCCCAATTTATAACACATGTCTTGTTATATTTAATTTTTAAAAAATATTTATTGAACAGAGTTTTATCTATTATACTTCGGCATTTAACTGGAACACAGAATTTGATTACATCAAAGAATTAAGATTGGAGTTCAGTGGTTACAAAAGAAATATGGAACACCTAGAATTTCTTAGTATTTGAATTGACTACACTCATATTTTAAAAATTGTCTGGGCCAGGCCAGATAGATTGTGCCTGTAATCCTAGCACTTTGAGAGGCCGTGGTGGGAGGATTGCTTGAGGCCAGGAGTTCAAGACCAGCCTGAACAAGAACAAGACCCCCATCTCTACAAAAGATAAAAAAAATTATGTTTGCTGCCATGCACCTGTATAGTCCCAGCTACTCAGGAGGCTGAGGCGAGAGCATCACGTGAGTCCAGGAATTTGAGGTTGACATCATGGCATGCTAGCCCAGGAGAGAGAGCAAGACCCTATTGCCAAAAAAAAAAAAAAGTCTGAAAATGCCCAATAAAATTAGGCTAAATTATCTTTACTCTTTCTCTCATGGAACTTGGAGGCTAAACTGGGGTGTGTCTTGAGACACAGGAAACAACCACAAGCAGTTAATCAAGTTCTGTATCAAGAACTGTACTGATTCATTGTCTTCCATTTGATAGGACACCAAACGGGTATTTCTCCAATTAGCTGTAAACCAGGATTGATGAATACTCAAATCTTAAGAATAAAACAACTTTCTTGGCTTAATGGAATCTGTGGAAAGACAAGGGGAAGAAAGATTCCTTAAGAAAAGACCATGCTGTGGGATGGGGGAGGTGGAGTCAGTCTTGGGGTATAAGGGCATGGGATACTCGTCTCAGGTGCAGTCTGTTTAAACCGGTCTTGT